AGCTGGCACCCGGTAACACTTGGTATTACCTAGACGAGAAATATATGTATATAATAGTCTTCGTATCAAATCGGAAACACAAATTTTGGTTTTATTTTACATTTTGACCAAATTGTGGTCTCATTTTTCTCCTCCATCTTCCAAATTGATCTGAGTTTAGAAAAAGTATTTAAATATGGAGAGATCGATAGAAAAGTTCACCAACCAGACAAGGAGACGAACTGACCGACATGGCTAAATCGATTCCAAACGGATTTGATTCAGACACTTCGCGTCTAAAATCGATATTTCGATGAGTAAAGTTTTTGAATAAGCAAACGGGTTCTACCGTGAACCGTGGAACCAGTACTAATAATAAATCGGCACTGGTAATTATTTTGTCAGGAAGCTTGCAAGCTATGCATATTTTCAATCGATTGATTAAAATCGGTACAAATGCTGGTTTTATAAACTGAAAATTCAATTTCCAATTTGGGGATATGGATCTGTCTCCCGCAAATATATTTGATTAATGTGTTAGGCACAATTAAATATATTTATGGCTAATATTTTAGACAAATCCGAAAATTCTTCATAATCTGCAATTTTTACGAAATCCCAAAAATATATAATTTTCTAAGTAAGTATCGTATAGAAATATGCGAATATAGATTTCTTGCCTTAGAGAATCATATCAAAATGCAATGATGGAGATTTTTTAGAATATTTGGAGGTCAACAAATATTGTGGTATTTAGTTTAAGGTTCAAGGATGAAAGAGATGCACAAAAACTTCAAATAGAAGGAGGATATGTTTTACATAAATATTCCTCATTTGATTTCACTGAAGACATGCTATCTCAAAAATAACCTCAAATAGCTCAAACAAAGATATACTATCCTAACCACAATGTTAAGGTATTAAAATTTCAGATTCAAAAAATGAAATAAAATTATCTTCCAAATAAATGTCGTTTGGTTTCATTTATATCATTCTTGTGGAAGTTAGAGAGATTTAAATCTGAAATTTTAATATTTTAACATGGGATACGAACCTGTAGTGGTTAACGTAGTTAATCTTTTTTAGGGTGCTGCGAACAATAAAATTGTTTTCAAATTCGATTGTTTTCAATTTATCGCGAATGATAAAGTTACTATGAATGAAGAAACACTTGCAATATCTCACGAATGTTCGCGTCGTACAAAATATTCACGAACGATATAATTTCCCTGCAAGCCTCTTTGATTCGTTCATTCGCATTTGTTGCGAAAAACTCAAAAAACAAATGTTCACGAATATTCGCGATCGTTGTTAAAAAACAAAAACAAACAAACAAAAATATCATAAAAATGTGTTGAATAACAAAGCACATGCCCAACAACTATTGAGTTCACGAACGTTTGTTGTTATTGTTGTTGTTGTTTTGCGAGCACTCGCGAATGTTCATTTTCATTCGTAAATGAATGTCAGAAAGAATGTCAATCGCCAAACAAAACGAACGATCGTTGTGCTCTCACTTGTTTGCTATGCGCGTGCGAACATTCGTAAAAAATTTATCGCAATAAATTCATTCGTAAAATGAGCCCAAACGTAATGAGCGTATTTTGAATAACTCGCGAGCGCACCCTGAGCGTTTGCATCCTATATTTTAGAGTTATCACCAAAAAATGCATCACGTCATAACTCCAAAACGTCATCTATAGTAAATTTGTCTTTCTGGGTTCTTAAAATACTCGCAAAGGTTTTTTAACCCCATAAGGAATACCTGGCTTAAGGGGACCCCCCCATTCTCGGGGTCAAAAATTTTGTTGATATAATTCGAATCTACACTAATTAATAAATGTCCCTACAAAATTTCAAGTGAAAATCTCAAGAACTCAAGATATAGCCGATTTATTGTGTCAGCATCAGGTGACGGCTAAAGGGCTTCTCAAACTTGAAACGCGTTTTTCTCCAAATTTTTTTATTATTTTTTTACTTTTTTAACTTGGTTTTTGGTAAAAAAAAAAATCGGCGATTTTCCACATATATTTTTAAAGGTCCACCATTTTGTTAATTTTAGAGCGAAGTCAATAAACCTAGTTCATACGAGAGCCAGACATGTACTCTTTCTAACACCGTTGGAATTTTCGGATTCCAGTGAGGAGTTATCATGCCCGCCATCAAAAATAAGGACTTTTCTTTAATTACAAAAAAACAAAAACAAAGCAATATCAAAAATTTTTTGTAAATTATTTTTCTTTTTTTTAATTCTTCAAATATATATGTGCAAAGTTACAAACCTTAACAAGCATTGGTATTGATTTACCAGCCCATTGAAAATCTTGGAAAATTAAAATCGAGAATGGGTGGGGTTCCCTTAAAATTAAGTTATTTTATTTTGGGATTTCTTTAAAGAAATAATTAATTTAGTGCTGTGCAAGCATGAAATCTGGTGCCATTGGTTACATTCATTAATAAGATCGTTCTCTGCGTTCTCTTTTAGTAAGTCATTTCATATGGTGGTTTCTCATTTACTCTCCGAGCCTTTTCTCTTTTCACACCTCTAAATCAAAAAGTTAATATGAAATCGCACAGTAAGAAATCTGGGAAGGGTAGGTTCGTATGGTGTTGAACATAGTTGAAAATGTTTTTTTTGCATGATCGGGAAGAAAAATAAGTCATTTTGTGCCAAGTAATGGCTGTAGGGCGGATGTCCCATAAATTACAAATTTTGGTCGGTTAAAAAGACGCCAGTTTGAGCCACATTGTCATGGTGCATATTTCTCCGAAGACTTTGGGCAAACAATTTGTGGCGTACCAGTCACACACCGTCATACATTGCTCAAGCTGAAATTTCGCGACCATAAAGCACATTTATCGATGTGCTTTATTCACGACCAACTTTCGTTACATCTAAGTTTTCAAAGACGCTGATTTGTTTTCTGGATCATACGCATAGATCTATGATTCGTCACTTGTAACGATTTTATATACATTTTTTGAAGTACAAAATTTTCTTGTCCCAATCGTAATGCGTCTTTTGAGCTATTATCAAATTATGCGGGATCCAACGAAAACATTTTTTACGGTCAGGAGTTCAGGCAATATCGTCAAGTGTCATATATCACGGTATCATGACGATCTTAGATTATCAGATCATAGTTCTGGGACACAATAGTCGCTTTTGTACCAAATTCACGATCATTATCGCCATATAAATATTTAAGAAACATCGGTGCAATCTCAACGAATTTTCTGAAGAATTACGTCATGAAAATGTTAACGAAATAATAAACAACACAACACATGATCGTACGTCAATCCGTATTGAATACGCCATATTTGTTATCGACATTTAAACAATATTGTGGGCGAGTTACAAAAAGGACTTTCTCCTCCAACTACAAACTTGTTTAGCGTTAAGAAAAAATATTACCATATGAAAATTTCATGACAAATAATTTACTCTCTTCGCTCAGCAGCGAGAGGGAGAGGGATGAACTTCGTTAAATCGACTCGATATTTTAATGAGGCAAATTTTTAGTCGTTTACTGAAGGGTATGTCATACAAAAATCGGTTTTATTTTCTGAAATTCAAATATTTATGGATCTGTCTCCTGCAAACGTGTTTGACATAATGAGATCCATTTATGATAATTATTACAGATGAATCCGATAGTTCTTCATACAAAAAAAAAACTATTTTTAATGAATATTTTCATAATCCTATTCTTATTTTATTTTTATCGTGTTGTCCATGTACCTCACTTAGAATACGAGTAAAATCTCTTTTAATAGAGAGAAAGACACTTTTTTTCAAAAATATGTAAAAGTTTCATTAATATCAAAACTATTTTCTTTCTTCGTCCTACTTTACGACAATTTTCGCTCATTTCTTATTCTCTTTTTTGTTATTATCTCGAATGTTTTCCTTCAAAAAAAAAACATCATTCGCGATTCGACAGTCTTTTGTTTTGACATATACAATTTGCCTCGCCTCTCACTTGGTGGTTGTTAGTTTTTTAACCGTGTGTTTGGCTACTGTTAATCTTGTCTCTTCACTTACTCGAATGTGGCTAGTTTAGCATTTCATTGTTTGTTTATTTCAGACACTGCATTGCTACTATACAATTCGCATATGTATGTTCCAAATTATTTCGATATACGAGCAAATAACCTACCGGGTGTTTAACATATTTTTATGTGATGATTGTTGGAATTTTGACTTAATATGAGAACATGGCTTCAATAGGATAACGAGACAAACGAGACAGGAAAATCAAAGCTACAAAAAATTTCTGTGCCATACAAAAACCACCAACATTCAAAGAAAATCCAAAAATTTTCTCTATAGTTGTCTTCAATAACTTTAGAGTGACAGTAAAAATCTTTTTACATGGAAAAAATAATTCGAGTACTACAAATTTATATATTCTGACACTTATACATATCAACGAAAATATTAACTTTTCAAAATACAATCTAACTATTAGGCATATTTTAAAATATGAATATCGGAATAAACAACAAAATTTACTTTTCATTTCCTATATATACTCTATTAAAATGTTATCTTGTTTAAAATTAATTACATTTGTAGCTATGTATTTAAATGTGTGCTAATAATAAAAAAAATGAAAATAAATTTAACAAAATACTAAAAGTGTCAAAAAGGCAACAAACATTTGTAATTAACATTTAGACTAATTAAATTTGGCAAATAAAACAACAACAACAACAAAATTATTATCTGTTACTAACAATTCTGGTTTTTAATAAATCTGTTTTGTCCGCAGTAAAGTAGTTAAATGTGGCTTTGTGTGTGTGTATATGTGTGAACTAAAAATCATTGTAGTGTTTGTCTACTAAAACCAAACAGAAAAAAAACAAAAGCAAGTAATAATTATCATCTTAACCCAAATCAAAACAAAAAAATAAAATATCTAAAAACTAAATTTATCATGTAAACGTTGTTGTTGCTGTCTTCTACGTCTTCTCGTGATTTTGATTTCACTTTTTGTTCGCATTTTTATTTACAGAATTTCGGAAAATCCCAAAGAATACAAGAAAATTTGGATTGATGGTGGCATACATGCCCGTGAATGGATTAGCCCGGCCACTGTTACATTTATTCTCTACCAACTGATGTCCAAATGGCAGGATCATCCCGATTACATTCGCCAAAAGACCTGGTATGTTATGCCAGTCATGAATCCCGATGGTTATGTCTACAGTCGTAAAGTGAATCGTTTGTGGCGTAAAAATCGTGCCCCTGCCAAGCGGTCGCAATGTTTGGGTGTGGATTTGAATCGCAACTTCGATATTGGCTGGAGTGGTTATGGTTCATCGACAAATCCCTGCAGTGACACATATCGTGGTGAATCGCCAAATTCGGAGCTGGAAACCGATGCTGTTGTTAAGTTCTTGAGTAAACGGAAATATAATTTGGAATCATATTTGACATTCCATAGTTATGGTCAAATGGTGGTGTACCCTTGGGCCTATAAGGCTGTTAAAGTAAAGGATGCTGGTGTTTTACAACGTGTTGCCAATACTGCCGTACAGCGTATTGAAAAGAAAACCGGACAGATTTATCGTGCCTCGGTGACACATGAAGTGTTGGGTATTGCCGGTGGTGGTTCGGATGATTGGAGTCGTGCCGCCTTGGGTACAAAATATGTTTACACAATTGAGTTGAGAGATCGTGGACAATATGGTTTTGTGCTGCCACCATCACAAATTTTGGAAACTGCCATTGAAGGTTATACCGTGGTGGATACAGTGGCCCAGGCAATTCAATAAACGGCGTACATATAGCGGATTTTTAATTTATGTTTCTCATTTTTTGGCAATACCTATAATTTATTTAAAATTATTTTTAAACAAATGCCAGTGTACTTTTAACAAAAAACCCCTTTTAGCCCCCTTGGCAACAACTATTTTGCGTTTCAGCAAAACGGAAATTAAAACCCCACCAAGAAGGTTATTTTTTTTATTTTTAGTTAAAATTTTAAGTTATTTTATGAATTAAAAAATTATTACATTTATATTTTAATTTAAACAAAAAAATATTATATTTAATAAAAAAAATACTATTAATTTATTGTAATATAAAAATTGTTTCTATTTGGGGAAGTGGGAAAAGCGCCTCATATCGACAAAAAAAAATCATCGGAATCAGAAATCGTTTTAAAAAAATAGTATGGCAGGATATAACACATTGGCACAAAATCGAGCTCATAGCCTGGGGTGCAAAATTCCTTGTGGGCATTAAAGCCTTTATCGATTATATTAAGAACCCAAAGAAGGACAAATTTTCCATAGGTCAAGTTTTTTTTATGGCGTAATGAATTTATAGCTGAAAACTATAAAGTTGATAAAGAAATAGTTTTATATATATAGCAGATTATTTTTGAGATGACATGTCCTCCGTCCAATCAAATGAGGAATATTTTTGTACAACATATCCACCTTCTATCTCGAGTCCTTCTGCATCTGTTTCATCCTTATTCTCCTGGACTGTAAACTAAATAAAATGAGACGAGATTTTTTGACATCCACATACTCTACAAAATTTTGTTCATACGATTTAAGATAGGGTCCTCGTAAGTTTTAATCGTCCTTTTCCACATTTTCCTAATCCTTCCTCATAAAATCTCATATCTATTTACCCTAATCAATTTCGAATAAATTGTGCATTATGAAGAACTGTCGGATTCGTCTCAATAGTTACCATAAACATGTTAATAAAATGTATGCAGCGTATATAGATCCGGATTGTTAAATTTTTGAATCAGATTTTCAGATAAACACCCGATTTTATGGCTAATGAGGGTACATACATGTCTCATGGAAGTACTGGTTAAAATCCCATGTTTCTTTAAACCAAATCCGATTCAGACAATTTGAAGTCGATTTACAAATATGCGTTCGTGCATCAGACTTCCTGTGTGTTCTCTGGCTGACTCTCGAAAGGAGCATATCATAATATTTCTTCTAAATTTAAATAAAGTTCGAAGACTTTAGGTCCACTCCTTTTGATACCTTCCTGACAAAATGATCAAAATTTTGCTAAAAATTAATTTTATAATATCTGGCAAACTGAATATCCGATTTGAGCCAAACTTTACACATCCTAATACATGAACCATGCCTATGTGACGATTGGTCTTATCGGTCCAATCCTTCTGATACCTCCCTCACAAAGGTTCAACATCTTTAAAATTTCTAGCGAACGAAATATCTAATTTCATCCAAACATTGGACATAGTGATATTTTTCGGAAGTCTACATAAAGTCCGAAGATAGAACCCATCGGTGTACTCCTTCTGTTGACCTCCCCCATAAAGTGAAAACATTTTGAATAAATATAAATACAATATTTTTCGGTTTGATCTAAATTTTTACAACGTGATATTTTAACCACACCTAGATCAAGTCTGAAGATGCTTATTAATTAACTGCGGAACAAAAGTCTGAGGCCTTCTAATTAATACTCAGATCAAATTATGTGAAGATTCGTGTTTGTTAATTTCGAACTATTTTTTACGACTGTGGGACCTCTTTATCAATGAATTCAATCGTGCCCCACACTCGATCAAACATTTATTATTGCTAAGTTTGGCAGAGCGTTTTGACATACGACCATCGGAATGCTTAAACGTACCAACATGTGTTGTGTTCTTTGGAGTAACTTGATGAATAAACCAGTGAGCGGAGCAGTATAGTCGGACGGGGCCGACCATACGATACCCTACACAACTACCACGGAAATCAAACTTTCTGCGGATGTTTATTCCGAGCCTGGGCAATATTTCGAGATATTTGCACCCTTTTGCCCAATTAGAGGTAAACAGCACCTCTTCCTTACACTGACATATTTTCCGAATATTACGAGTATTCAGTACAGCTATTGTCCAGATTCCTTTCACCGTGGGTTGTGTTGTGATGTTCGGCTTTCATTTGTGGTCTATAGATGGACTCGAAAATAACACAAAAAATTAAGTTTTCGGTCCACTTCATTCCAAAATTTTTATCTGATCATCACTGAAAATTATAGGCATTGTCCTTGACCATAACTGGAACCTCATGGAACATTTCAAAGCGATCAGCGGTATAGTTCCGTTCTCTAGAGCGATAATGGGTTACTAATTAATATACAAATACAAAGATACCTTCAAATATTTAGGTGTAACTCCCACATACGAGCACATACAACAATATAATTGGTACTAGTTTAACGGTCAACCACTCCTATTGGATATAATATCAACTTCTAGGGTATATGTCCTTCAGGGGTAAATATATACGCTATAGAATACAAATTTTGTCATTTTTCACACAAATGTCAGGGTCCATTTGACCCGCTAAATATTGACGATCTTTATCAAAACAGGCATGCTTATTCTTTGACCCGATCCCCTTCTCCATGCAAAAATTCGCGGTGTTTGGGCCAAACTTGCGGCCTCTGGAGCGACCAGAAAAACCGACAAAAATAAAGTTTTTGGTCCATTTTATCCCAAAACAATAGGGGTCTTCATTGGCCAGAACCTATCCTACATGCAAAATTTCGTGAAGATTGGTCCATAATTGTGGTCTGTATCGTGTTTACAAATTATAATGGACAGACGGACGGACGGACACACATGTCTAGATCGACTCAGCTAGTCGAGATATGAGGATCGGTATACTTAAAGGTGGGTCTAGGACCAATATTTCGCGGCGTTACAAACTTTTGGGGCTGCACAAAGCTATAATACCCTGACAACATAGTTGTGTAGGGTATAATTAATTAGCAAACATTGGAATTAACTCCTGAATATTTTCGTGCGATTATATTTCACACATTTCGATGTGGATTATTACAAGAGACCATCGTTAAACTTAAATTCTTGTATAGCGTAGAGGCTCCGTCCTCTAACATATCACAACTTTCAATGTGATTTATTACAACAGGAGAACATCGTTGAGCTTAAACTTTTGTATGGCGAAGATTCAACGTCCTCTGTTAGGGTTTGGTTTAAAAAATACATAGTGGTCAACATTCGCACAAGGACGAATGTCTTTAATTTGCTCATAAATCGGCCGTTGAAGAGATGTGCAAGCTTATAATGCAAGATCGTCATGTCAGAAGAAGAAGTCCTCTTCCATTTTTTTTCGCCAGTACCTAAAATACCTGTTGAAGGACCTCAGTCTCCCAAAGATCTTTTGACGGTTTTCTGTCTACCGAAGATCGTTTAAGGTATTCTGCTTCTGAAAAATCTTTTGACGTCTCCTGTCTGTAAAAGACCTTTTGTAAGCATTCTGTCCATAGAAAACCCTATGAAGATGTTCTGTCTCTGGAAGATCTGTTGAAGGTATTCTGATCTATTGAAAGTCTTCTATCTGTAGAAGACCTGTTGAAGGTCATCTGTTTATAGAAGACCTGTTGAAGGTTCTCTCTCTCTCTCTATATAGGGGGCCTTCTGTCTTTGGAAGACCTGTTGAAGGTTTTCTCTCTCTCTATATAGGGGGCCTTCTGTCTCTGGAAGACCTGTTGAAGGTATTCTATTTATAAAGGACCTGACCTGAGCATTAACCTATGCATATGAGCCCGAAATAAAATAGCAATCGAACGAGAACTGGTCTACGAAACAAGCACTTCGAAGCAAATAACCGCCGGGAAAACTGATATTGTGGCTATTGTTTCGCTTGCGCAACGTAAGGCGGACAATTCAGGGAAGTATGCCACAATAGCCCCACGAATTTTGTATTGAATCGACGCTGTGCTTTTAGCGTAGACCGTATCTTCAACGTGACCCCAAAGGAAGAAGTAGCTAGGTGTTAAATCACAAGAAATCGTTGATCAATCGTGATCGCCTCTTCGTATGATAACACTTCTCGTAAAAAAGCAATAGTTTTGATGATTGTATGGCGTGTTCGAAACGTCGTCCAGACCGATAGAGTAATCCAAAATAAAGTGCCGGACAAAAAATCACTCGTTGAGGATGCGGAGGCTTTCCAACAATAAATCTTGGAATTTCCAAGTCCCAGATACGACAATTTTACTTCTTGGAAATGGACAAAATCAATCAAAATGGAATTCCGAATTATTTTCTTGCATTTCAAGGACCAAATCAGAAAAGATACGACGTTGTTGATGATCAGTCGGCGTGAGTTCTTGTGTTTACAGAACTTTAGGCAAATTATGGTGCAATGGCGTTGAAGTCGCCGGAACTTCATTGATGTTTAAGGTTCGACGGAAATAAAAATCAGTGCTTTAAAACAGAAAATGAGAGTCCACCTTAAGTAACACGAATAAAACCGTAGATAAAAATCAAGCCTCAACATAGGTTTCTCTATATTTCTTTCTTTTAGAAATTCGTCAGTATATGGCTCTATTGGCATATTTTGAAATTTTACTTCGAAGGTGATGTAATCTTATGAATCTTATTGGAAGCACTGAAGACTCGCGAAGTTATCGCAAATAATATTAGGAATAATCCCACAATCAATGTGAGAGATTTCTGCCACCTAACAGATCTGGAGAGTACACTTAAAAAACTTGTGAATAGACAGCTTGAATTAAAATGCATCCAACAAAATTATGTATACCTTAAAATGCACCACAGATCCCCAAACAACAACCCAACACATACGGTCCCAACAAAGATACCCCCGGCAGCACCCAAAATGCACCTGGATACACGTCAAAATAAAAATTATTGAGGACAAAATTGAGTGCCATCATCTTTATTTTTGCAGAATAACGGAGAATACCAAAGAATATAAGAAAATCTGGGTGGATGGTGGAACACATGCCC